CTTCTACCACCGTACACCCGCGTGGGGTAATTTTAATTTTATCTGAGTGTTGTCCTTTTGGAAATGAACACTTCAAAAATGTCCCTGTATCATTACGAGAGAAGGCACGTATCGTTGTAAAATCTGTGCACAGTTGCTGTTCTTAAGTTTACTCAGACAGTTTCAAGTATCATTGTGTGATAAATTGCGCGAAGGTCGCGATAATTAATTGCAAGTTTTAAGTCGGCGTGTCGTAAAGTAATGACTCTCTAATTAGGGTTGTCTCGCGGGTACTTTAGCTGGGACTTAGAGGACTCTCTTAATGACCTTGCATGTTACGGCGACCCACTGACCTCTATCTTCAAATATGCATGGTAAGGACCGTTTTCGTCAAAGCCAAAGGGGAACAGATACTATTTAAGGGACATATCTTAATAGTCGTCTTCCAAAAATAATTAAAAATTATTATTATTACTAACATATTAAACAAACACTATAGTGTCAAGGAAATTGTTCGTTTTCAAACTTTCCCAAATTTTAATTGATGTTAGTACATCAAAAATACAAAGTAATTCTAAAAAGTTTGTACGCCAATGTTTTCCTTTCAATTCTAAATAACTATCTTTCTGATGTACGTACCCACATAAAATTTATGGGTTGTACCAAAATTTAGTGCCCATTTATATGTCCAATTACATCCTTTTATATTAGGATATCGAATAACAATCACACATAAAATGAAAATAAAACTATGTAATGGTACTCTAATAAAATTCTTTGGACGCTTCTTTATGTTTCAGGAACGAGTCCTGAATCATTCCTCTGAATAGTAACTTTCGTAATTTCTATAGATACGTTCAACAATTTTTAGACAAAATTTTGAAACGGGATACCCCATTAAAGCTTTTTATAATTTTAAAAATTTTTCAACATAAAGTTGGCTGTATTTTTCGAGATTTCAGTTTTCTTGTCGTTGACTACGTTTACATAATATGAATTGTTCTCCTGCAATATTGACGTGAGGTTGTTGGAATACAATGCAAGAAGACAAGTCACGTAGGTTATTGACGTTTCGACAAGCACTTGAGTGGAAGAATATTAAATCAGATCGAAAGTACATTCACCATTTTATAAAAGATGATAAACTCAAACAAATAATGTAAATTACTCCAGATAGAAAAATATTTTCTCGAGTTATTAAAAAATTTGTTACTATGAAATTTATTCATTGTGACGATTTGCAATTACTGTAGTATCTGTGTAACTAATTAATCAAATTGTTAATTCGCTAATAAAACAAAGGAACAAAATTAAATTACTTCTATACGCTTCATTTGGACTCGACCTGATCGACTTTTATCAAGTGTAATACTGATTAATTTGAAATAAAATTATAAAATTTCATGTTTAGTAGTACCTACCAAAAACAGAAATTATATCTAAAAGAAAAATCTTCGACCCTGTCACTATCTGCTTGGCTATAATCTTTTCGACTTCATGACATTTCAACATCAAAATTTTGACAAGTTTTACGGTATAATTTCTAACCAAAAGATACTGTTCAAAAATTATGAGGTAGACTATAAAATTAATTGCAAAAATCAAGAAATATCTTGATTGCTTCTCATTATTTCAGGTAAATTTTTAGACAAAAATTGTCAGCTTCGAAAGGTCATTTGAAGGTCATGTCATTTTTTTTAACAATAACAATACCTTTTTGACCACAGCAATGAAAAGACTAGGAAATTTGATGATCTCAAACACTCATTAAACTCACTCGCAATTTTTCATATTCCGAATAACTTTTTCTGCTATAGTTATTGTCTACTTCACCCCTGTTAGCCTCGCTTTTGTTTCAATCTGCGTGCCTCACCTTTAAGAATTTAATTAAAGTTAACATTTCTGTACGACCCCGTTAAATCCTTACGGAAAATGGCCCTCTATACAACTCTTTGAAACTTTAGGTTTTGGTAGTTCTTGTAACGTTCACCATATCTCAAAAAGATAAGTTTACACTAAGGCTTTTGATATACACGTCGAGAACTAGTAGAAACTAAAATTTCAAAGAGTTTGACAGAAAGCCATTTTCCGTAAGGATCTACTGGGGTCCTTTGTGAACCGAACGGCATGGCCTAGAGGTTTAGACCATTGCCGGTTCGATTCCGGGTCCGTCTGCCTTGGTCCAAGTTTTTCTGTGGTTTCCTTGGACCACTTAGGCAAATGCTGAGGCAGTAATATTCCATAGATAATCTTTCATTCTCTTCTGTGTTCATTTCGTCCGTCTCATCTTTCTCACCCGAACCACCACCCACCCATTCCCACGATTCCTGAAAGCACGCTGAAGAGGGCCTTCCGCCCTACCTTCCGGCATAGTCCGGAGGGACTGCCCTCCCACCAGCATTACTGACTGGTGGGAATGAAACACCCAAAAGTTTTTTTTTCCATTGTGAGCACTATCTTGATGACCGAATAAAACCAAACTTTTCGTAATGTTTTTGTTTACATTACGTATATTCATGATTATACCTTTTACCTGTACTTTTCATTTCAATGGAATTACCTTTAGCATGCTACGTTTTGTAATACCTTATTATAAATTTTAACGCTTCGATAAAATTCGCGTAATTGTGCAATAACCAGATATAGTTTCTCCGATAAAACCGAATATCGTTTTGTGCATTCTGATTTACGATATTCAAACCCATCAAAAAGTTTATCGCAAAGTGATCGTCAACAGCTAAAGTTTATTCGAGCATAAAATTTAAACAAAAGCACGGCGCAGCGTGAAGAAAAAGTCGAAGGTAAACAATTCGTTGCCTTGATAGGCTGGCGTTATTGCTCGTGAAAATTGGAAAGTTAAAGTGCGATCCGTGTGGTCCAGGTGCTGTCTCGAAATTAAATTCAAACGTTTATGGTTTCGCTACGCAACGGGCGAAATGGAGAAAGAAGACGAGAATAGGGTGGTGCAAATTAATTCGAAGAACTCAACTAGAAAATGCAAAAGCTCTGATATATTGTAGCACATTTAATTGCTTGCAAAAAGGAAAATGAGACTCGGCTCTATGAAGGTGAACTCCGGAGTCTAGACAGAGTTTGAGAGATATAAAAAGCAGAATTAATGAACTTTAGATGTGCAATAAAGAAAATGTAAGCGAAGTAACAAAAAAAAGCTTTTCAATATTCCACTTTAAAGCTGTCTCTTACTTAGATTTAAAAATAAACTTGGAAAATGTCTATATTGAAAAAGAACAACAATGTTACATGGTTTACTTTAATTAACACAAAAGTTAGGTACTTGCAACTTATTGTCATTCTGGAAAGCTGAAAACTACTCAAAACGATTCAAATTTCAATTAGAGCACGTTGCAAGTGAAAAAATACGAAAGCCCAAGCTCTCCCTAGAAAGTCCACTTTGTCGCAACGCGTTTTAAATTTAAGTTTCAGAACAGGCAACAACAATCAAACACGCAGAAAGCAAGTCGTGGTGAGCTTTAACGTACTTTAATGGAAAAGTGTTACCCTCGGGATGACCACGGCCGTGGAAAGGCCGCAACCTGACTGAGAATGCTTTGATTCCTGCAGTATACAGTTGAATTTGTACTGAAATACGTACGTTGATATTTGTACAGAAAATGAGGTTTTATTTAAAAGAAATAATAAAACCCTTAGGATAAACCACATTTTCATACAAATAAAAGCAGTCTGAATATTTGTAAGAGTGATAAATGAAATGAGAATTTTAGAAACAAAGATAAACTAATTATCTGCCACAAAAGCATAAGAACGACTGCCAAAGACTCAAATAAAATTTCCGAAAACTCGCTACTATAAAATTGTGCTCCGAGTTCGGAAACAGATTAGTAAAAATTAGTCGGCTAAGTGACAGTCTGATCCACGTGCAATATTATCTAACATAAAATGGAAAAACCTACAATCTACGTTACAATTTTCCTATAAAGTTTAAGCAAGTCTTTCAAAAGCTTTAGCCTTTTTAAAATTTTAGTATCAGTAGTTTTAAAGAAGTATTTAGTGCATTGTTTTTGAAATATCACTGAAAATTTTCCTCATATCGATAATTATCTTACTAGTCATATTCTCACCATATATGCATTTTCCTATTACATATGTGTTTTCCTATCGCAGTGTTATTTATAAAGTTATTATCAGGAATAAGTCTTCTTTAATCATAGATACTAAACTATCATAATTTGCTGTAGTTTATCTAATAAATAATGGCGACATCATTAAACCTATATCTACAATCAGCGTGTGATAAATAATCCTTGAAATTCGGGGGTACGTCACTGATAATGCAAGACATATAGATAAGAACGGTTTAGGTTCCTTGTCACGATCTCATCAGCACGCCTTATGAAGTCTCAATAAATAAATAATCAAACCGAAAATATTCCATATAAGCATCAAGTTTAGGTAATATCAAGTCGCGGAAGTATGCAGCGATCTACTTAATAATAATTCTTACAGTTTATATTTGAATATTACGTAAAACACGTCCCGCTGTACCCCTAAACAACTGCTCAAAGTAGACCTCCACTTTCGAAAATAAATAGTGTAGCGATCACAAATGTGTTTGTGTGCGATCGGGCACACGTGTGCGTAAACGGCTTATCGATTCGGCGACTAGCCACGGGCGCCTTTCTTCATGTGCGCCGTATTTGTAAATGTGTGTGATGTACCTGCTTTCTGGGAAAGCAGTTAAATATTTCAAAGAAAAAAGAAACTATCCGGACGTTTTCCAAAAGGTTCCCGAAAGTAAACAAGAGTATTTAAAGGAAAAGACGATCGCCGAGAAATAGAAATAAATTAACCATTGCAGAAGTGATATATCAACATTAGCGTAAATAAATAGTTTTTGTCGTTATCAGTTTTAGAAGTAATTTTGTTAAACCCACGAACATTACAATATCTTGCACATTTTTGTTTGAAAATAGGCACAGCTACACACAGGGTTCCCATGTAGGTTCCTACGTGTCAAACAATACAATTCTGAATTTGCATACCTGCAATGGTGTTCTGTTGATCCACTCGAGCCCGATGAAAACCGCAACGATAGTGGTGGTGCAGGTCGTTAATGAAAGAGAGGAAGTTGCAGAGTGCGACGCTTCGTGAAGCCGCGAGAGTGACGCCTGGCATGAGAGAAAATGTATATATATGCACATTGAAAAATATGTGTGGCACTCCGCTCATATTGTACGACACCATTTCTTTTGTCAATTCAGCGCTTTGACCGTTTACATAGACGCGAATGAAAATACCATTCGAAACACATGGGTGGTTACTTCATCTTTACTTTATGAAACACCTGAATCTCAAATTTATACGAAGAATGCAATAGGAAAATAAAGGATGGGTGTCAATAAGATAGGTATATTTTCCCCTGAAGAATTTTTGGTTTTTATTCATGTATATATTTACTAAGGGTAATTGTAATTAAGATAAAAGCCAAATAAAGTCAAATACTTTAATATGTATGTGACAAGGAATAATCGTTTTTTAAGGTAAGCAAGTTAACAAAGCAAATTATATTATCATTAATTAGTTATAAAAATAGTAAGAATGATTAATCTGAGTTTTCGCTATTATTATCAGACCACTGTGACATAGCGGCGTCGAAGATGTAGTCACTGTAATTGACCATTTGAGATTTTTTTTCTTCCAAGTACTTGTTGTGTCCTAAATATCAGAGAACTGCAGCTACATGAGCACAACAGCCCAAGACTCGTGTACGTACTTTACACTGGCAGTACCATCCATAAACTGGTGGTGAAAAACAGTTATTATATTGAATCCACGCATTAGGTGTATATTTTTGAAGATGAATGTCGCGATTGTAATTGAGCATGGATTATATCATTTCTTTCCTTATGAACATACAGCTCATACAGCCCTAAATCATTAAACTGCTGTACCACTTACGTATACGTTCGCGCAATATATGAGCGCACTGGACCAACACTTTAATATTTATATATATTATTGTTAACAATATGCTACATCACATATGTAAAAGACAAAGTGTTGGAAGATTGCGCTGATGTATAAAAAAAATGTAAAAACTACTTGAAAAGATTCCCTAAAATACTCAATTTTAAACTATAAATAAAAACGAAGATAATTACGAAAGGTAAGAAATATTACCCAAAACGCACGGAGTATATAATCTAGTATTGAAAAACTATATTAATTGGGTTCTATGCTATTATTGAATTTTTCATGAATTACAGGGGAAATTACTTAGGTTACTGACACCCATCCCTTCCTCTATAATATATACTTTATAAAGTTCCCAAATTTTTTATTGACATTTATTTTGGTCAAATAGTGTATGTACAATGTGCTATAATAGCATTTAAAATAATAAACAGGTAATCCGACAATTCTATTTAACAGGCTTATGCGCTGGAGGGCATTATAGAAATCTATTACTAAAAAGGTATTAACTAAATGCCTGCTTAAATCTCTGGTGGGGATATCTAGTGATAAACTACTTTGGCTTTGGGAACATAATGTATATATATATGTAGGTCTACATATACGTGGTAAATGGCCATGCCCTAAATCCGCCAAGTTGAGAAATAGTTTTAAACTACCGAAACTTTCGTCGTTAAAAATCGAATTTCTCGAAGCTCTCGTTTGACTCGGCTGAGCTTTTTCGTTCTGTAGCCATTTCATAAACCAAATTACCTCCTACAAACCATTTTGAATTTTCAACAAAAATATTTTCTATTACAAAAACCGAAACCATTAATCTGTTATAGTATAAATTTCTAATAAAATCCATAAAGTCTTAACTTCTTATAACTGCATTTTCAAAAACATGAAAACAAACATAAAGCTTACAAAAACCACTGGGTGTAGATCAAGCTTGCTCCATACCGTAGTTAGTTCCAACAAAAATAATTAGCTAAAACTTCTAAAATAAGCTAGTAAAATTTTGAAACATATGACAAAATGCTAAAGGCTTTTGCGGTCGATGAATTGATTCGGGTTTAAAGGTCGTCATCAGTTGGAATTGCATTTTAACGTTTCGTTAGCACACGTCCACCATCGGAGATTGAAGAACCTCTGCAGAAGGTCGCCACTCGTCTAGCGAAACGTCAGGAAGCACCTCCAACCGACGACAGTCTTTAGACTGGGATGGATCTAGCCTGTATATTATTCCATTAAAACAAGGACTTTTTCTCGGAGACTTTTCTGCTGAAAGCTTGTAGAACTTATAAAGACTTGCAAAGTAGTTCAAGACGACATATACCTATGTAATATATGTTAAGATGAATATGATACATAGCCACAAACCGAATTCCAATAGTGTCCTTGATGGTGGTTAATTATGCTACAAAACTTTAAACTTTTAGATTTTTCATTTCCACCGGTTACTAAGGCCGGTAGGTGGGCAATCCCACCGGACTACACAGAAATTAACGGCAAACAATCTTATCTGAACCTTTCATATAATAAAATGCGTAAATTTGCATTTTTTGTCCTTCTCCGCGCGTTCGTTGAATTCTATTGTCCTCAATTCGGTAACGCATACATTTGTTAGACCTTTTCTCTCGTCCATTTGTAATGTTTTTGTCTGCATATGACAGCTGACGGAAACATTCTTTAATATTTTGATATACTTGATTTGAATGATTATATGTAGGTAAAGTGTGATTGTTTCCATCAAAAAGTAAATTACGGTCCTTTAAATTTAATACAATTTTGACAGCACTGAAGAAAAAAAAAGACAAGGGTATCTTCTGTCAGCTAGGTTTAATTTATGGCTTTTTGGGAATTCTTTTAAAATTTGAAAATTATCATTAAAAGTGTGTTTTCCCTTTAATAAATGTTCTGCATATGTAGAATCAACTTTCCCGTTAGTATAGCTCCATCTTTATTCTGTAATCCTTTGATTGAAGGATGTTGAGATAAATCAAAGAATTGTTTAAATTTAGTAATTCTCTTCTAAATTGTCACATGTCAATTCTGCCTAATCTAAAAATGTTGTTAGTATTAATCAAGTATTGTATGANCTCTCATCGTGGAAAGTCCTTCGGACTTATTTCGAGAACTAGACAGGACTCCGACCCATCTTTAGTTAGGCCTCCTGGGGACACGCAAGGGCAAGTGATAATAACAGAAATTGTCCAATTACAGAAGACCGTGGAACTGTGATTGATAAATGTGGCGCTATGCAAACTGCTGGAGGTAGCAGAGGATTGGTGCATGCGCACAACGGGCTATTGATCCATCGGCCACCCTCGCTTGCAGTGGGGTGCCCAAAACGCGTCAGCGAGCGACCTCAGTCTGCAGCGGAAAATCGCGCGTTCGTGGGGGTAACTATCGCAAGTAGCACGTCCGTTTTCCACACGCACAGTTCTACAACCGTTACGGGAAAACTTCTACCACCGTACACCCGCGTGGGGTAATTTTAATTTTATCTGAGTGTTGTCCTTTTGGAAATGAACACTTCAAAAATGTCCCTGTATCATTACGAGAGAAGGCACGTATCGTTGTAAAATCTGTGCACAGTTGCTGTTCTTAAGTTTACTCAGACAGTTTCAAGTATCATTGTGTGATAAATTGCGCGAAGGTCGCGATAATTAATTGCAAGTTTTAAGTCGGCGTGTCGTAAAGTAATGACTCTCTAATTAGGGTTGTCTCGCGGGTACTTTAGCTGGGACTTAGAGGACTCTCTTAATGACCTTGCATGTTACGGCGACCCACTGACCTCTATCTTCAAATATGCATGGTAAGGACCGTTTTCGTCAAAGCCAAAGGGGAACAGATACTATTTAAGGGACATATCTTAATAGTCGTCTTCCAAAAATAATTAAAAATTATTATTATTACTAACATATTAAACAAACACTATAGTGTCAAGGAAATTGTTCGTTTTCAAACTTTCCCAAATTTTAATTGATGTTAGTACATCAAAAATACAAAGTAATTCTAAAAAGTTTGTACGCCAATGTTTTCCTTTCAATTCTAAATAACTATCTTTCTGATGTACGTACCCACATAAAATTTATGGGTTGTACCAAAATTTAGTGCCCATTTATATGTCCAATTACATCCTTTTATATTAGGATATCGAATAACAATCACACATAAAATGAAAATAAAACTATGTAATGGTACTCTAATAAAATTCTTTGGACGCTTCTTTATGTTTCAGGAACGAGTCCTGAATCATTCCTCTGAATAACTTTCGTAATTTCTATAGAAAACGGGATACCCCATTAAAGCTTTTTATAATTTTAAAAATTTTTCAACATAAAGTTGGCTGTATTTTTCGAGATTTCAGTTTTCTTGTCGTTGACTACGTTTACATAATATGAATTGTTCTCCTGCAATATTGACGTGAGGTTGTTGGAATACAATGCAAGAAGACAAGTCACGTAGGTTATTGACGTTTCGACAAGCACTTGAGTGGAAGAATATTAAATCAGATCGAAAGTATATTCACCATTTTATAAAAGATGATAAACTCAAACAAATAATGTAAATTACTCCAGATAGAAAAATATTTTCTCGAGTTATTAAAAAATTTGTTACTATGAAATTTATTCATTGTGACGATTTGCAATTACTGTAGTATCTGTGTGACTAATTAATCAAATTGTTAATTCGCTAATAAAACAAAGGAACAAAATTAAATTACTTCTATACGCTTCATTTGGACTCGACCTGATCGACTTTTATCAAGTGTAATACTGATTAATTTGAAATAAAATTATAAAATTTCATGTTTAGTAGTACCTACCAAAAACAGAAATTATATCTAAAAGAAAAATCTTCGACCCTGTCACTATCTGCTTGGCTATAATCTTTTCGACTTAAGCATGACATTTCAACATCAAAATTTTGACAAGTTTTACGGTATAATTTCTAACCAAAAGATACTGTTCAAAAATTATGAGGTAGACTATAAAATTAATTGCAAAAATCAAGAAATATCTTGATTGCTTCTCATTATTTCAGGTAAATTTTTAGACAAAAATTGTCAGCTTCGAAAGGTCATTTGAAGGTCATGTCATTTTTTTTAACAATAACA